TATTATATTAAATATAATAATAAATATATATTATATTGTAATTATATATATTATATTATAGTATAATATAATACAATCGTTATTTTTAATTATTTTAGTTATTATTTTAATAATATTATTATATTATATATCATAATTATATAATAATAGTTTTTTATTATATTAAATATAATAATAAATCTATATTATATTGTAATTATATATATTATATTATAGTATAATATAATATAGTTGTAATTTTTAATTATTCACAGCAATTCAACCTTATAATTTACCAAACGTTATTACGCTGATTTTGGTACTAACACAGCTATTATAATTATAGTTTACCAAACACTCAGCTGTTTTTTGTAACAGCTGTTTCTTTTTTCAGCACAGCTAAAAGCAATTTTTTAAAAATCTACAGCACTACCAAACGAAGCCATTGTGTTTCATTGTACTCATATAAACATGGAAATTATGGAATAGAATCTCGAGTACTTTGAGTTAGGCAACTTAGTACATTAGCGTTGTTTTATTGGTTTGTCACTGGCGCAAAAGTTATGCTGTAATCATTATCAACAAACACCAACAACGCAAGCCTTAATCCCATATTAATTGGGGTCGGCTATATTGATTTTACTTTTCCACGCAAATCTGATCGAAATTAGACTTTCTAGAAGGTCTAGATCTCGAATGTCATCTTAACTATTTCGGTCCACGTAATTCTTGGTCTATCCCTCCCTCTCCTAGTATTAGGTATAAGAATGTCCTCCCAAGCACGAACTAGTGCTTCTAGCGGTCTACATTGGACATACTCGTACTACCTTAAGCGGCATTCGCGCACCTTATCTTCTATTGGTGCTACACATACTTTACTACGAATAACTTCATTCCTTATGGGATCCATTCTTGTATGGCCACTCATCCATCTTAACATACACATTTTTGCCACACTCATCTTACATATATGTTGTCTCTTAATGGCCTAACATTCACTACCATATAACATAGCTGAGCAGATTGCAGTCTTATAGAACTTTCCTTTCAACTTAATAGGCATCTTGCCATCACATAAAACTCCCGCAGCATTCTTCCACTTAACTCACCATGTCTTAATCCTATGTTAAACATCCTCTTCTATATCTCTTTCGTACTGCACTATAGACCTAAGGTATCTAAACTTCCTAAATGCCCCAATCTCCACACCATCTAAAGAAATTATATCACTCTGATTATTTGAGTTATTAAACTTACAATGCATGTATTCAGTTTTTGTCATGCTGTAATCATTTTCAAAAAAAAAAAAAAAAAGTAGTTTGGTTTTAATTAGTCTATCCCAGTAAATGACAACTGAACTATTGCTGCTTTTTGGCCATTAGCACCACTAAATTGGCGCTCATTTTGTTTCCAGAAGGCCTTCTGGAAATACATCGTGATTTTGACATCATTATTAATAATAATTGAACATAAAACTGGTTTCAAAAATCTTCTAAAAAAAAAACTGGTTTCAAAAATCCTGCTATAGGACTTCATTTTACTCTGATTCTAATGTATCTCAATTAAATCTCTCTTCATAACCGTGTGGGCAAAGTAAGCATTGAATGTGGAATGTTCTGTTTGTAAGTATTTTAGAAGTTAAATTCCTAACCCATTTCACACATTTATTTATTTTATTTTTTTTTACGCATCCTCATTAAATGTTTTGCTGAGATGACAACATTTGTCCATTGGCAGCGAAGTGGATTTATCAGACGATGAATTCGACAACGGGACTGAAAGAAGTTGTTCATGTACAATCATGTAGTTTGGCTTTTACCTGAGATTATTTGGGCTCAGCCTCTCTCTTTGAATGCAAATGATGGAAAACAAGTCAATTGCTGCTAAAGGAGCTTGTTCATTCTTCCTTGGAGCTTTCTGGACTATTTTCCGAATGAACTTGGGAAAAAACGAAAGAAGCGGGTTTTTGATACAACAGGTGCTACCACTATAGCAAGGAGTAACATTTCTTGCAACGATCATCGGACTGATCATTTGTGTCTATATTTGGTTGCTGCCGGTTTTCAATTTTGTCTCTGGGGGCTCTGCCCTTTGCTTCATTTTGTTTATTTTCAACTTTTTGTGTTATGTGTATGACTGCATTGCCCATTGTTTTTGTCGTAATTATTGTGTTTAAATTTTTATTTTTTCCCCTGGGTTTGCTCTGTCATATTGTGTGAATGAATCTTCACATCTTCTATTTTCTCTATTACGAGTAGAAAAATTTAGAAGCGAAAGAAAAAAGTAGATATCTGATTTTAAAGTTAATATAAGTGTTGCTGTGTTGGAGCCATCACTTGCAAATTATCTGTTATGTGATCACGCTAAGGTCATATCAGAATTATAAAAACATGCAAACTTATAAACTCGGTAAAGATATGTCCATTTGCAACTACACAATAATGATATATATACACACACGATAATATACATACATATATATATATATATTATCATATCACATAATTTTGAAAAGGACAAAATCTAGAGTAACTTGGGTAAAAAGGAAGATTGAAACCAAATGGTTAAAAAATGAAATAAATATGTGAGAATTAAAGGAAGACAAGTTTTTTATTGTGTATGGATATATATATGAATGTGAGGTGGAGCACCGTGACACGCAATGTATTTGTAAAATATTCCATTATGCAATATTTGCATTATTATCTGAGATCAAATCTGATGATACCTTTGAAGTTTGAACCAAATGGCATGACATGACGCAGAATATAATATGAATTTTATCGTTCACAAAAAAAAAGGTTATAATTTGAATTTTGATTTTAAGTATGCCCCCGTTTGTAATTCACAAATAAAGCGTGCCTTTTTGTTAATTTCTTAAGAAGTAAATTTTTGTCAAAAAAAAAAAAGAAAAAGAAAAGCAAGAGAAGAAAATCCTAATAACCAAAAGTACACAAACACTCTTCTTAAGTAGCGCATCATTAATGAATAAAGATTCACAAGTCTTGGGAGTTCAATCCTCTAAGCAAGAAAATAAAAAAAGAAAAAAAGTTTAAAACTGCTCTTTTATGATAGTGGTGTTTCTATTATTGACCTCCTTAATTATATATATTTTTATTAAAATAGATCAACTTAAAGAAAAAATACAAAGGCAATATTAATATCACACTAAATTTTAAAAGTCAATTCTAGAAAAAGATTCAAATAAAAATTACAAATGCAATCGAACCCACAACCCATAATCCCCACTCAAAACCCGCCCAACCCCGGCCCTCGCCAATACAATTAGAATAGAGGATCTTAGCCATTGAAGTTAAAATCCATTACAATTCCTTAATTATTGAAAGTCACTTACTCTTCTGTTCGTATAAATGTAAATTAGTAATAATCACACTACATTCAAATTTATGAAAGTGCATTTGAAATATAACATTTTTTTAAAATATTTTAAAAATTAACAAAATAATATTGTAATTATTTTAATGATATATTCAACAAAATGTCGTAGTAATTATTGTTATGTTATTTTTCCTATTCGTAAAACATTCTTTTTTTTTTTGGTATTTCAACGTGACTAGTTAAATTTATAATATGTCCAAAAAGCCCTTGTAATTATAAGAGAACTAGGATTCAACAAGTCACTTCAACACTCGTATAAATGTAATTTTTAGATAACTAGGACTTCAACAACGTAATATATGCTTGGCATAAATAAGGATCGTACTTGATTAACATTATAAATCAAGAGTAGTTACTTATTAAAGTACTCCTTGGCATTCATATAAATAAAGGAAACAATAGAAAACAAGGATTCACACATCTAGTGAGACTAGAACTTCAACAACGTCTACTAGTTGGAGTCTGTGAGATTAATTGTCAATCCTAATTTGATTAAAATTTATCATGGTCCATCCATTAACTTACATATTAGAGATAACTCTTAATCATTTTAAAAAATTATAAGGAAATTAGAATCATAGTTGATTTAGATTAACGTACGTAGTCCAGTCCAAGTCTGACTCGAAAATCTCCATGATAACACCGCCATTTATTTCTCTCCTTATATATACATTACTCTCTTCCTATTCAATTCAACATAGCCATTGTCAAGTTTTTCTCATCACAGCTAGCAAAGTATTACGATTAGGGCACCATGAGTAACCTCAAAAGCTCAACCAGATTCCAACTTCTTGAGATCAACTTAGTCTCAGCCTATGATCTCAAACCACCAAGAACCATGTTCACTTCCAGAAAAGATCACCATCAGATTTACGCCGTAGTTTGGATTGACCCGAAACAGAAGCTCAAGTCTCGGGTACTCGACGCCGCGAGGTTCGAAAACGCGAGGTCGAACGACAAGTTCGTGTTCGTCGTCGACGCCAAAACACTCGACAGTTGGAGTGCTGCTCAGCTCGTGGTCGAGTTCTACTGTGTTGGAAGATTCGGGAACGACAGGTTGATCGGGACTTCTAGAGTTTTGCTGGGAAGTTTTGGCAATTGTGGCTGACGCTTTTGTGAAACGACGACGGGGACATTTAGGGGATTTGATATTCGACGTCCGAATGGAGATGCTAAAGGGATTTTGCACATTGGAATAACGATCTTGGATGGACTTGCTTGTGATGCGATCAGTGATCAGTTTGTGGGGATAGGATCGCCCATTGATTGTCAGAAGTTGACCGGAGTCGGAGCCGCGGCCAACAAGAAGGATAACAAGGGTGCTGCAGCTTTCATCAGAAGGATTTTTTCGTTGCATGGTTGAAGCTTGAAGGAAAAGGAAGAACATGCTTGTAGAAGAAGATTTGATAGTGTGTCGACTGTTACATTGCAAAGCGTAGACACTCTTTTTTCCTCGTTAGGTTTGTCCCATTGGGTTTACTAACAAAGTTTTTAATGAGGTCTATCATAGATTCTGACTATTAAAAGTGTAGTTTAGTATATATTTTACGGCGTCAATTTCTACTTTGCATTGTTTCCTACTTTTCTTTTCAATTTAGTAGTTCTTTACTTTTGGGATTGTTTTTTATGGGTCATTACACAGAACACTTGTAATTTGTTGGACTTGCTTAGTACATTTATTCTATTTTATTGATAATATATATTGGGGGTGGGAAGACGATATGAGGGTGTTATGAAAGTGTGAACTTAGTTGCGATTATAAAACCTGGCACCCAGCAATTTTATTTGTTAAAAAAAAGTTTGTCAATATGTAAATTAGCATATTATACATGTAATATTGATTTGCATGGAAAATGTATAACAAATTTTAGTAGATAGTATTTTCTTTCGAAGTATGTATATGTAAATTTCTATTATATGTTATTGCCGGAGTGCATATTTATGAAGCAAATACACACACACACACACACACACACACTATAGAAGGCATACGGCCGTCGACTTGAGCATGTTGAATTGTAGTGTGTAACTGTTTAATTTGAAAATGTTCACCTAGATCATGGGAACATGTTGATATAATCTCTGTTTGCTATAACTTTTATAAGTACAAGAAATCATTTATCTTTTCTGTGCCGTGCTGATATCCTATTGAAGTAACTTCAATAAAGAATTTCATTTTAAAAAATGCCTGCTTTTTTCACACTTCATCATGTCTTATTAACATTTTATCTCCAAATTCAGTCACAAACAACAAAACATAATACTAAGCTTTAACAATCTCCAAAATTAGTGCAACTGAACCACAAGAAACAGGAAAGAAAAGAAAAAAGAAACAGAATTCTTGTATTTTTTTGCAACTTTGGCAGTATAGTGAAGATACAGCTTATGATAGACAAGAAAGAGAGTGAAAATTAAACAAATTACTCAACAGAGTTACAAAAGAGAATACTGGAAGTGACTAAAGCAATCGCAGTAATTGGAATTGGGAATTCAACATCAAGCCAATGCATCATTCCAGATCTAATATCCCGAAATTCAAGAGCAGAATCTTTACTTGATCGACAAGGTCTGAACCAGTTGCATACTCTGTTAGCAAACCAACAGCAAAACCAAACATTGCCCATCTGCAGAGTCAACACAGATTAAAAAGTTATCAGAAGACACCACCAAATCAAGACCCTCAAACTTCTCAAGCCAAAAGTATAAAAATATGAAAAGGTCATACATCTGAATCAGTCGAAAATGGAAGAAAAACGACAAATTTACGTGGGTTTCTTCTGATTAGATAAATAAACAGCAAAAGTATTTCAGATTTTTAACATCATAAAAAAAGTTATGGAGGTAAGTATGCCAATTTACCAACTTATGAAAATTAATAGGCCATTTTGTATTTCTAATTTTTCATTTCTTAATTTACCCTTTTCTTCTATGGATCATAACCTATCAGACTATGACCGGCGCCGCTGATTGGAAGCCAACGGCTATCAGGTTATGAATCATAACTTGATAGACTATGGTTGGCGTCGGCGACCAACAACCGACACAATCTATTAGGTTATAGATCATAACTTGATAGACTATGGCCGGCGCTGGCCTAATCTGTCAGGTTACGGATCATAATCTGATAGATTATGGCCGGCGGCTGGTGTAACCTGTCAGGTTATGGATGCCGGCTGTTGTAATCTATTAGGTTATCATAACCTGTCAGGTTATGACCAGTGGCTGGTGGTCGGTGTAACCTGTCAGGTTATAGATAATAAATTGTCAGGTTATGGCCCGCGGCAAGTGTAATATAAGTGTCAACTTTTTTATTATTTTTTCCTTTTAGGTTGAATCTTCTCTCTTCTATCTTTCTTTCTCTTGTCTTTGTTTTATCTCTATCCAGTCTTTCCCTGTCACTCTCTCTCCCCTAAACTCCCTTCCCTTTGACGACCTTTTCTCTCCCCCGCTCTCTCTCTCCTCCGGTTCTCTCGTCACTCTCTGATATCTCCTCCATCGACCTCTCTTTAACTCTCTCTCTAACATGCGATGAAGCTTCTCGCCATTGAAGATCTAGATGCTCTTTCATTGGGACAATCTTTATCATGAGAGATGGTGTGGTCGAAGTGGACGAGTGGTAGGATTGATGGCGCATCGATTAGCAATGATAAAATCACCGACGAAGAAGACAAACACGTAGATAGGAGAAGAAAAACTTGATACTTTCCGTCGTCGTGAGGCCATCGGTTGCCGATCACCGTTGCGAGGATTCACGGTCATGAGACGTCGTGGTACAGATCGGTAGTTGAGGAGAGAAAGAGTGACTCAGTAAGAGGAGAGAGAGAAAACGTGCGCTAGTTTTTTAAAGAGAGAGATGGAGGAGAGAGAAGAGAATAAGTGTTAGACTTTATTTTGGCACGAGAAGGAAAAAAATAAAAGGTTTGAACATGCTTTACTTAATTAAGAGTAGTTCTGTAATTTTATTCAGGTGTGAATATGAGTTTTTACTTAAAAGCCTATTTGCTAACATTATTTAAATCTTGGCCTATTAATTTTAATTTCCCTCTTAATTTGGCCTATTTCCCTCATTCTCCCTATTTTTAGTCACCGTTGTGTATCCTGCGGTACATATCCTATAGTGCCGGGTTCTTGGGTCTTCACGTGACTATAATGGGCTTGGACCGTACGAGCCAGTCCAAACTCAGCAATATAGGCCTCAAAGTCCTACTTCAAAAAGACATTCCACGAGTTTATGTCCCTAATGGATAAGGGGCTTTTCCAAGCCGTGCATGTACGCCAACCCATTTGCCACACCGCTATTGATCCTGTGCCTGGTTTCCGAGGAGATAACGGAAAGCGCGAAGTTGAACTATTATTGGACAAATCGTGTAGCCTACTGTATAAACTTCCTTCTCGAAGACTCCTAGATCAGAATCTTATTGGCGCCGGGGACACAGTACCCGATGATCCGTTCGATGTTCTGGTGCTGGAGCTTTCCGAGGATTTCGAGCTCTGATCGGAATTCCTTAGAAGACGTCAAGGATGGTGAGGTTGAGACCATTGGGAGCACAGCCTTGTAGAGGAGTCTGAATCTGCTGTGGCCAATGATCAAGTCGAATGAGAATCTCTTCGTTGCGGTGATTATGTCGCTCATGGCCGATATCTGGAGCGACATATGGAAGACTGCGACCTCCTTGACATCAATAGTCATTTGATTTGGGTTTGGATTTGGATTTGGATTTAGATTTGAGGCCTCCTGGATTTGGGAGCTCTTAAATTTTTTACTTTTGCAGACCATGATTCCTAGGGCAGTGAAGATTATAACGGCAATGGCGAGAGTGGGAAAGCTCGCCATGAAGCCTAGAGCAGTTGCATCCATGGAGACAAAAGGTACATTTTTTCTTTTGAGTGTGAGTTTTGAAATTTGGTGATTTTTTGTCTCATAAAAAGGTAAGTTGTTTTGATGTAAGAATAGATTTGAGAAAGAAAGAACTTTTGTTATATGTATATTGAATGGTCAAAAGGGGAAGTTGCAGTGCGTTTGTTTGAGTTGTTTCTCAGACAAATGAGATGTGAGAATAGATATAAGTTTTCCTTTTTTTTTCATCAATTTCATGGAAGATTCAAATATAACAAAATTTTCCACACAGATAGAGAGTTAGTAAGAATCCAAGATGCATATTGATCCCTATTAGCATATTGGAATATTTTCAGTTATTGATATAATTGGAGTATTTTCTGCTTTTCTATTTTGGCAGTTGTTTTAGTCAGCTATAGTATATTCTAGATAGAATTTGTTAGCCTCGTAAACAGAGTCAAGGCACTCTTCTATATAATCAGTTGTACTTCACAGATTATGTGTGAAATGAGAATGTGCCTTTTTTTAAATTCTCTTTTTCTGATATGGTATCAGAGATTTTCCCTTTTGCTGCTCCTTCTTCTTCTTCTTTCCATATCTGAAAATGGCCCGCGGTGGTCAACACAACAACAATAATAACAATAATAACAATTGATTTCAACCACTCACTCCTCATGCTTCCTTTACTACTACATCTTCTCACGGTTCTTCCTCTATGGATAATATTCACAACCCCTTCTTCCTCCACAGTGGTGACCATCCTGGTTTGACCCTTATTTCACACATTCTCATCGGCCCCAATTACAATACTTAGAGCCGAGCCATGCTTATGACGCTAAATGCCAAAGATAAACTCAGATTTGTTGATGCTACTTTCCGGCAGCCACCTCCAGAGGATCCCATCGCTGGCGTCTGGTTTAGACGCAATAGTATGGTCACATCTTGGCTCTTCAATGTTGTTTCCAAAGAGATTGTTGATAGCCACCTCTATTTTGAAAGTGCTCAAGCTGTTTGGTCAGATTTGCATGACCGATTTCATCAAGCAACGCCCCACGTATTTTTCAAATCAAACAACATCTCCATGGCCTTTCTCAAGGATCTCTTGATGTTAATACCTACTATACCAGTTTGAAGATTCTCTGGGATGAACTTAAGAATTTCTAACATGTTCCCGTTTGTCAGTGTGGGGGTATGAAAGCATGGATGGATTATCAACAGCAAGAGTATGTTATGCAATTCTTGATGGGTCTCAATGAATCTTATGCCGGGATGTGTGGACAAACGCGATCGCCCCATTTGTTCGTATTGTGAGCTCACTAGGCATACTGTGGACCGTTGCTACAAATTAAATGGTTATCCACCAGGATACAAGCCCAAGCCCAAAACCCAACAGAGCTCTCCTTAATCTACATCACACCCTGTTTCTTCATCTGACAGATCCAAAGGTTATTCCTTTTTCCACTGCTGCGGCTACCACAGCTTCTCCTTCACCATCTGGTATGCTTTCCACTGATCACGTTCAACAG